AGGCGCCGGCAGCAGAGGGGAAAGGAGCCCTTTTATTATCATTATTCTTTCTTTTTAATCTTTTTCCCCCTCCCCCCAGGTGCAACCGCATCCCCAGGAGGGAGCTGCCGCTCGCCCCCGCACTGGGCAGCCCCCCGGAGCCCCGGGGACGAGGTGGGGCAGCCGGAGCGAAATGTGCCTCGTGCAGCCAGCCCGGCTCCCTGCTCGCAGCTCCCCGGGGCCCTGCGGGCGCGCTTGGGCCGGGGGAGCGGCTGCCGCGGCCCCCGGCGCTTCGAAGAGTGGGACGGGGACACTGTGGGCGGCAGGGCTCCCCCCCCGCATCTGGCCAGAGCCGGAAGACTTGCTTTGTTAGGAGCACTGAAGTCAGGGCAGAAGGAGGGGAAAGCAACACTCAGCCTTCCTCCCTGGCTGGATGCTCGTGCCTGGATAGGGCTGTCTCTCCCTCTGTGCACACAAGCTTTACCTTAGTGCAAGTCTGAGACCCTCCATAGCATGGAGAAGTGAGAAATCCAAATAAGCAAAGCATTTGGGAGTTGGGGGGGGCGTTGGTTTTGTGGGGTTTTTTGGTTTTTGTTGGGGGGGGTGGAGGGGTTTTTGCTTTTACTTCTCATTACTGTATGCCTAAGCAATTTCACCTTACACCCGCACACAGTATTTGACCGTATGGCTAAGCATGACAATTAATATTGCACTGTTTGCGTACTTCTCCAGCTTTTCTCATGACATCAAATACATCTTTGGGTTGTCACTTCCACGTGGAGTAAAAAAAAAAAAATCCTGGCGCTTTTCTGCTGCCTGCTCTCCTTGACATTTTCTGGTTATAAGAAAACTCCCCCCCCCCTTCCCCCTTGTATATCAAGGTATTTTTGTTACAAGTGCCTTTAACATGGGGGAGGAAATGTTAGTAAAACACCTTGCGTGGAATACCATAATGAAACTTCTCTTTTGGTGCCAGTCAAGTTTAGTATAGATCGGTGTCCTTTTTTTACTAAACATGCAGTATTCATTTTCACCTGTTAGAGGTCAACAGGGCTTCTAAACATTAAATGCTTCATCTTACAATTTCAGTCCTTTTTTACAAGGTTGTTTTGTAGCTCAGCGAGTCATTTATATAAAGAAAAATATTTTCGTGTTGGCATTAACTGCATCAAAAGGCAAATTTGTTATAGTGGCTCCATCCATTTAAAAAAAAAAAACTTGCCTGCAGTAACATGACCTTGCAAACAACATCCATAGTTAATATTATCATTAGTCATTAATGGTATTACTATAATCAGAAATGTAAATTTGTTGCCAGAATCAACATATTTACCACTTTACACATATTTTATTTCACAGTGCTTTTACATCTTTTGTAAAGGGGTCGGTTAGTTTTTGTCCTTCCACCTCATTCAGGATTATTTTTTATTTTGGGGGTAGGGTGGGGGTTTCCATTTAAAATGGGTGTGTATACAATGCTCTTTAAAGACTGGAGCTATCTAGAATAGTAGAACAGTTAAATAAAAAAGTCTGAGGAAAAATTCTTGTTTTATTAATACATATACACTTCTTTTTAAGTAGCACGATATAAACAGTTTTCCCAACTATCGGTGTATTTGAAAAAGCACCATTACGACTTCTTATACCGTAAATTAAAAGGGGAGATTTTTCACAGGGCGAAAGTATTTGAGAAGGAAAGCATGTTAACAATTTTTTGTTTTCTCCTAGATTTGTCGGCATTAATGCATCTGACATAAACTACTCAGCTGGTCGATATGACACTTCAGTAAAACCCCCATTTGATGTAGGTTTTGAAGGTATTGGTGATGTGGTTGCCTTAGGGCTGAGTGCTAGTGCCAGTTACACAGTGGGCCAAGCTGTGGCGTATCTGTCACCAGGGTCTTTTGCTGAGTATACTGTTGTGCCTGCCAAAAATGCAGTTCCTCTACCCTCTGTGAAACCCGAGTTTCTTACTTTAACGGTAAGCGGCACTACTGCGTACATCAGTCTAAAGGAGCATGGAGAATTATCTGAAGGCAAGAAGGTTTTGGTCACAGCAGCGGCTGGAGGAACAGGCCAGTTTGCTGTGCAGCTTGCAAAGAAGGCAAAGTGCCATGTAATTGGAACTTGCTCTAGTGATGAAAAGGCTGGTTTTCTAAGATCCATTGGCTGTGACCATTCTATCAACTATAAAACTGAAAATGTTGGTGCAATTCTTAGGAAGGACTACCCAGAAGGCGTGGATATAGTGTATGAATCTGTTGGTGGAAAGATGTTTGACTTGGCTGTCAACTCCTTGGCTACCAAAGGGCGTCTGATAGTTATTGGGTTTATCTCTGGCTACCAAACCCCTACTGGCCTTCAGCCTATTAAAGCAGAACTGCTGCCAGTAAAACTGCTGAAGAAATCTGCCAGCATCCGGGGTTTCTTCTTGAACCATTACCTTTCCGAATACTCAATGGCTCTGAAACACTTGCTCAAGATGTGTGAAAATGGAGAACTGGTCTGTGAGGTGGACCTTGGAAACTTGTCTCCAGAGGGCAAGTTCACTGGCTTGGAGTCTGTATTCCGTGCCGTAGATTATATGTACATGGGAAAAAACATTGGAAAAATTGTAGTTGAATTACCTCACTCTGTCAACAGTAAGCTGTAAAAACAGAACAATGATATAAATCAAAAGAGAGAGAAAATGGGCACGTTGTGCCCCAGAATTACTAGAAACAATTTATTTAACACACAAAAAAAACCCTCTTGGTAATGGATATTATATTAAAAAAGCATTCGGGTGTTAATAAAAAGTTTTGATTGTTAAAACACCAAAAAAACCCCAGCTAAATTAAACCAGTGTCACTGGCAAGAACTTAAATGTGCCTGTGTTCAATTCTGTAACTTTTTACAGGCTGTGTTGCCCAGTCTAATGTTAGAGGCAACCATTATTCTGAGCAGTTAAAATAAGTCTGGTTGCAAAGGCTGATCCAATCAGTCTTTCTTCAGTTTGATAACATTTTACAATCCAGTTAGAAACATGTTATATAAATTATTTAAACAGAAAGAAAGAGACAGGCCATGATCAAAATGTCCTTAGTTTACAGCAAACAAGTAAATATATATATATTCACATCTTGTAGGAGTTTTGTTATTTTATGATATTTCCAGAAAACAGTGAAAAATCATAATTTAAATGTTTTGGGTAGCAAAGCTGGTAATAATACTAGGATTACATTGTGCACATGAGTCATATTCCATAATTAGTTTTTTATGGAAAATGTATCCTCTGGTTCTAACATAGCAGAAATATAGAAAAAAAATCCACACATGATTTTTTTTCTTTTACTTCCAAAGTTACAATTTACAAATTACTCTGCAGCTTTCAGTTAAGCCTTTGGTTACAATTTGGAACATTCATTTTATAGTTTTGCCTTGATGTTTATTATTATTACAGTTTATGCTCTATTCTCCGCATTAATGCACCAGGCAGGCTGACTGTGCTACAGTTTTGAATTGTGTTCACATGTACACAGGTCATGTACTAAACTAAGGATTTAATAAAGTCCAGAAAAATATCCCTGTGTGTAGTATTTATTCATACTGATACAATTCTTGTAGATTAGCTTTCCTATAGTAGTGCAGCTTATTGTAGCATACTTGTCTAATGCTTAATATTTGGTATGGCTTCTCATGGTATTTTTTCAGTAGTGCTGCTTTGTAGGCCTTTTAGTAAATAACCAGATAGTTTTTTAGTTCAACATACACATCAAGTATACATAAAACCATAACTGGGGAACAGGTTCCACAATAGTTGCAGTTAAAAAGTTTGTAATGTTTTGAAAGTTATTGCTGGTTTAAGAGCTACTGCTACTTACACATATAATGTGAATACTTCCTAGGTGTGGTAAGGTTTTTCAAAATTAAAATATTTTAAACTATGCCTATGGTACCTCTTTTCAGTCTAAGTATATACAATTTAGAGACTGAGCCATCAGTACTCAGTGAAGTCTGAGATTTTTGAGTTTAATGGAATTAGAGAGCACAGAATGAGGCACCCTGCTGGTACCCAGCAATCATAGGACATTGCCATATTACATGGAAAAAAATACTGGGTTAATTTTAATTTTGGGCAGTAATCAGATCTGGCTGTACACATAGGTTGCAGCTTCATTAAAAAGAATATGCAATAAGAACTTCAGCAATTCTAATGTAAATGGGGACTACATAGAATTCATTTTCCAATTTCTGACCTCATATTGTATTCCCACTGCAATGTGATGTACATCAAATATTGCTGTTTAACAGATTTGTACCCAGCCCAAGAATCATACCTGTTCTGCCATGTTTGGCTATATGTATTAGTCATGCTGCTTTGGAAAATTCAGGAAAGGTTTTGTCTCTCTTACGTTTACCAAGTCACGTGGATCTTACTGTTCCTTTTTT